ATATTTTCGTATTGGCTTAACACGTAGGTAATTCTCGTTTTTTTAATACTTTATAATTTATAATTACATTAATAAAAACATTACGTTCATTAAAATGGTATAAATTATGAACTTCCATGACGTAATATATGGATCTAATTTATATAAAACTGCAGTAGGCACATTATTATATTACATAATTTGCTGCATACGTATACTAATACGTATGTTCAGAAAAATTGTATATTCATATATTATTAGGCAATACACAACTCAATCACTAACTATCGATATAGGTATAATAAGGACAATTGTTATATTGCTGTAGAAAATCTGAATTAACAACTGATCTAGCTGACGAAACGCGTTTGATAATACAATCAAGAATAATATACTGTTTCAAAATTTGAGAAACATAACTCAAAACCATTATAATTATTCGTAAACCAGAATTATATCAAATTGTATGCACCTTTTATTCGCCTTCGAAAAAGTCTCCACCGAAACGGAAGGAGGGACCGCGTTACTGTGAGTACTTAGTACCAACCTGTAGGTAGGTACCTTAATTCTGGTCATTTCTCCTAAATTGTGCTTCGTTTCAATACGGATTCAATTTTATTTATATTTTATAAATGTCAACAATCGTAATACGATAGATATTATGTAATTATTATATATTATGAAATCTTATTACATTATATTATTTTTACAAATAATAAATACGAAAATTCTATTTCTTAAATGAATAATTGAACTTCGGGTTATTTGTTCATTTACTCATACATAGTATCAGTAAACAGTGACACTTTAGCTCGTACAATTTACATAATATAATGACAAATAGGCTTTTAATTATTCATTTTTTAAGAATGTAAATTACTGTAACTCAATAAGAGTTACTGAAAAATACATTACTCTATTTTCTTTATAACTCGTTAGTATAAATATTAAATAACTTAGCCATTTTAGTTATGTTTCATAATTGTATATAATACTTTTTCGCTCAATTCGAAAAAACCTTATTTTAATTGTTAATATGTAAACGAACAACTAAGTTGAATTTAAAAATAACCAAGTATACGCAGTATGTTTTAGTTTATGTAACTGAAATGTAAAACACTACATATATCCAAGGTAATTGTACCTATTACTTTCAAAAAAGGAAAAAAAGTTAATAGTTTCTGATTTTTTTTTTTTTTTTTAAACTAGAGGTATAAAAATTAATTAACCCTACTTTTGTTGCATATGCCTTATCAAAATAATAAACAATATATTATAAAAAATACTTATAGTGTGGTCAAATAAAATAATATTATGTAAACCTTAAAAAAAAAAAAGCGTGCTCGTGGCACGAATCTCATTATGTCCTGTAGTAAGTCCTTATATCAGATTTTAATTAACGAAACTTATAAAATAAAAAAAATGCGTTGAAAATGGTTTTTTTTATGAATTTTTTTTTTTATTAATATTATTTTTATTATATTATAATATATGCAGTTTTTTATTTGTTAATTTTAATTAACGATTTCATTTTTTTTTTTATATACGAATCGTACTAATTTTCACTGCTCAAATTCAATTCTATACATAGCACAATTATTTTGATTTCTTTTTGAAAACTTTCTGACTGTTATACAGTATAACACTGTTCTAGGCAAATCTTTTTCCGATTAGTATACAATCCCAAGTATAGGCGGTTTCATTATCAAAATTACGGTATATTAGTTCACTGTATAATGTATATCTGTCAGCAGTAAAGTGAGTAAACAACTATAGACTGTAGAAATGTAAATAGATCTACAACCGTGAAAACTTTTGTAAGATTATTTTATCGCCCCCCCCCCCCCCCCCTCAATCAAATATCTACCTCTATGATGTTTATCCACTTAAATTAAAATCGATATGAACTCGTGAAAATTCAACGCTTCTGGTCTGAGGGCATCATTATACATTTCCAAGCTATGTAATAGGCATCACTCGTATGTATGCACGAGTACAATATTCGGGACCCCGAATAGAAATAATAGCAAATCTGCGCGTACGCGGTACCGTGCGCATAAATATTCGACTGCGGCACAGGGTGTTGCCGGGACGATTTCTCTGCAGGCACGAGTGACGGGGAAACGCCGTCGGCGGCAGTTGCGATCGAGTTAATCTAATAAAGTCGAACACGCCACGGTAATTACCGGTGCTTATTCCGTGAAAAGTTTCCGTGCAAGAATAGTCTGCCGAGGAGGGTCGGTGGATACGTGTGACGGCGGCAATCGCATTTAGCACGACTAATCGACCGGGCGCGTATCACGGGATCGGACATTGTATACACACTGTATATTATATATATATATAGTAATAAAATTAACTGCGCGCGTAAATACCTGCGATGACGACGACACGAACGCGCCGATCGCCCCTGTATACACTGTTTATTTTGTCCAAAATGCAGCTGCAGCTGTTGTTTTACGACGGGTTTTGTTGTAGTTTTACTATACTACGAGCATATAATTATTACGGTGTGTGTGTTTTACGATCCGGGTTTTTTTTTTTTTATTTTTATTTTTTATTATTACGGTTTTGACTCGCAAAAGACTTACTCCAATCAAATGACATAAATTTTCTAGTATCGTTTTTGTGCATTCGGAATGTCGGTTTTTATCTTTTTGTTTCTATTATCACTGCAGGAATAAACTATATAAAAAAAAAGACAACCGCTTAACACCGGCTTTAAATCAAATCTATAATGCAATATAATGTGCATTGTAGTGTATAGATTATATACATTATAATCTATAAATCGAGTATGGTATTAAGCGAAAAAAATTGTTGAACTTTTTAAACATTTCAAATATAGCTTAACAGATCGGGTTAACTTTGAATTTTATAAACAAATTGACTCTGTGAGCACACTTAAATATTGAACTTTTCACGTAGTTTTTCTTGGATTCCTTGCATCCTGCCGTACCCTTATCTAAAACAGTCATCTAGCCGCTACCCATGCGTGCAAAGTACGTTCAACTTTTTTTTTTTTTGTTAAACCGAGAGCGATTATCGTCGACGATCGAGAAAGCGGTGTATAAGGGACGTATTACGGTTTGTTCTTCCCTATGTAAACATTATTCCCTATGTGAATAGTGTATTCCACTATGTAAACGTGTCATTAAATCGAATTAAATCGATACGACTCAATACAAACGACAGAAACAACACGCCGTAATAATACACACATTATATACTATTGTGGGGATATATCGTGTGCCCGTCACTCGTGCCGTTTATCCTCCGTTCGAAATCGATTTTATAATTTACACCGTATCGGTTTAAACTTCCAAATCCCTTTCGCCCCCTTTTAATATAATAATAAACGTGTTTGACGCGAGCGACACCGACGCAAAACAAAACCGCCACACGCACCGTTTGAAAATAATATTAAACATTTTTTTGGGGGGATCGGTAATATAAACGTCTAACCTTTTTACAATATAAGTACATCCCGTACAACGGTGGTTTATTATCCGAAAGGACGTTGAAAACTTCTTCAGAAAATATTTCAAAAATACCTGTAAAACATTGTTTGTATCTGCGAGTGTCCCATTCGGAAAATCAAAATACTGAGCCGAGTTGTTGAATTTGGTTTTTTCGCATTTTTAAATTTATTATATCTTTTTTTTTTTTTAATTAAGACTGGAAATCATTTCCTTACGGTCTTAAGTTTGATAAAAATTTGAAAACATATTTGGACACTTAAAGCGGCTCTGGACCAGAAAAACTTAAACTTGACAATTAGAGGTTTTTTTTTTATTGGCAAATTGATGTGATAACTAAAATACTTATTGTATTTCAGTTTGAACTTCTCCACATTATTGCAGATGGACGGTGTATTATTAGCAATATATACCCATACAGATCCCCCTAATAAATCCAAATGATCTTTCTTTATAGATGGAACATTGTGCAGATAAAGAGTAGCCTCGAACTTTTCCTGTGAAATATTCTGCCCATTATTGAAAACAAAAATAAAATGTGTACTGCATAGTTTTTGCATGATACGTACACAAACCTTAGTTATTATTCTCTTATAGATTATTATTATTATTATTTATTATTAAATGTGTTTCTATAAAACCAATATCACAAATTGATAATCTATAAGAGTTTAATTTACACTAGCGTTATCTGTGCCAATTTAATTGCATCTTTTTTGTTTTAATTTATCCATTTAAAAGAACTCCCTCAAAAAACGTAATCAATAATTGAAATTTAATTAATCGAGTCTCCAGCTCATTTCGTCTATCCGTGTCTTCTTTTTCATTTTTTCCGTATCACCAAGGCAACACAGAAATCAACAAAAATCAAACTGTCGTATTATTATACCGAAAATCCTACAGATCCACTCTTTCAAGGGGGTTGAACTTCGGAAATCCGGCTTCGATATGTACACGGATCAGTTTTTCCGTTTCTGTATGCCAATTTTAAAGATAACAATTATTTTAAATGATTTATTTATTAATAGCACACATTTTTTTGTTTCATTTTATGTAACCTAGAAGAGTTAAGAAATAATAATAAAAAAAAACAAATTCAATATTTGTAAAATGAAAACATTTGAATATGATTCCTTTTAGAAGTTGTATTTTGAAAAATCTTTTCTGAATGAATATAAAATGAAACTTTATTAAATGGGAGTTCTTAAAGGTGGGAACAGACTATTGTCACGTCCCGTGAGCTCACGTGACGAGAAAAAAATGTGGAATACAGGTTTATACAGTATTTTAATGTATCAGCACCACATTAACGTCACCTCACGCATGTCATGTCACATTTCCTACCTCACGCGTGATGAACCATGATGTCACGTTTTGATTTTCTAACTTCACACACATTTTCGGATGCGTGAGCTCACGAATTTTGTCTATTTTGTTATTATTCATAATTTGAATTAATAATTATTCATAATGTTTGTATAATTATAACGCTCTTAATATTAAGAACAATTTTAAGCTAGTTCATTAACTTTAAAAAAAAAATTAAAAATTTTTACTATGGATGAACTTCTCATTGAAAAAGTTCGCGAACATCATGTTTCGAAATTGAGTATTTTGCTTTTGTATGTCTTGTTTAATAAGTTCATGCAAATAATCAAATTCTTCTTTTGTCATCCGGAAATACATGTGAAACCGTTTTGGTTCGTTTCGTAATTCACGAAACAAACGATGGAATTCGCCTAATTGTTCCCTTTTTTATTGATTTCATTTACCCAGATTGATCGGGTGGTTTTTTTATTTGCCCGTCTGAAACCACAAATACAGCTGCTGTTTCCAATTCTTCTTCCCACTCTGAACTACTTAAAGTTTCTCTATCCATTTTAAATTTATTATAAAATAAAAATGTGTGCGAACACAGTACATAAACAGTGGCGTTCATTCAACAGTCGTACAGTCAAAAGTGACTCTGAACAAAACTGTGACGTGATAAAGCATAACAACATTGATAATGTGACAATAGTTTGTTTCTAAGCGTGACATCACGGTTAAAATATGCCAACGTGACAACACGTGAGCTTACGTGACGTGACAATAGTCTGTTCCCACCTTTATTCGCCATATCGTGTAAAATACCTACTATTTTTCTAATTGACTCATATTATCATGGTAGATGTATTTTATTGTGTCTTCCTAACGTTAACTGTGCGATTAGTGCTGGATATATCTTACCGGTTATTTCATACTTACTATCATCATATAAATCAATAATAACATCACAAAATATTATTCAAGAAATTTAATTTCACACAAAACGAAAAGTTCGGAATTGTGACTGCTTTACTGACTAAATGTTATTATAATAGACCTTATTGTGTCGAGAAAAATAATAGATTTTTTTTTAATTCCAGATAAAAAATAACAATACTTTGGGAGCTGATTGATGGGAATCGGATATGATTATTGTTGTTATTATTATTTTAAGGATTATTTGACGTTAGTTTTCTCAAGGTTCCTACAGACTTTATATTCGTAACTGTTCGTAGTTTAACGGTAGCTGATGGTCGCGAGATTTGGTTCCTAGAGCGCGTTCTCGTAACGACGGTATTATAATAATTCGGTTAAATAGTATAGCATGTTGGTATAGTTTATCCCTTCGACCCTTCCTAGCACCCCATGTGATCGGTCAAACTGAAAGACGACGCTATTATACCTCTATTACTGCGTAAATTGCTCAGATTTACACGGTCACAGACATTTTTTGTTTTTTTCTTAACAATTGTAAATATTAGTAATATTGATTATAAACGATAAACATGAGACTCTCTTGTTCATTTACTACAATAAAACATAACTATATTAACTTTACAAATTATACACAGGTATTTCAAATAGGTAACAATGATTTCTAGGCTAATTAGTATGGCTTGGGAGTGATTGGAGCTAAAAAAAAGGCAAATATATGCTTGAACAAATTTTAAAATATGCAAGAAACAACAATGTTAAATATGTAAAAATGTAATAAATTTGCAAAAAATCAAAGTTTATTATTCAAAAATATTTAATGACATTATTAATATGGACAAAAAATATTAAACATTAAATACGAATCGCACGCACAGTTGTCGTTAAATTAATAAACTGACATGATAAGAAATAACAATAAATAACTACGTTAAATAATATTGAGTTTTATATTCAATGTTATTAAAAATATATTGGTTAAGAAAGAAAAAAACATTTTTCAGCAAATATTAATTATAGCATATAATATGCGTATAAATATGCGAAAATCAATGAAAATCTATAAAACATGCAGTCTTTCTCTAAAATTAACAAAATACGTGAAATATTCATTTCAAATGTTTGATTTTTAAACCCTATTGTATAAAAAAAAATGTCTAGCTTGGTCTGCTATAAACCCAGTACATACAGAAAAATATGCAACTCCTACAATTTTCGAGCCCTATACTAATTAGTAATTATTAGGTACAAACTGTGAATGTAAAATGCTAATAAACTATATAACCAACAGAATTTTCAGTACCTATAAACCGAAAATGACGAAAATATACCGTCAGCATTAGTAAAAACTAATTAATGTTATAAATCTTTGCAGCAAACGTGAAAGAACTTCTGCGATAAGTAACTATTCATCATAATTGCGAGTATTTCCTGACAACCACATAATATTATTTTAATAATCTCTCAAATGGCGACACGTAAAGACGTATTTCAAAAGTACTTATTTGGTACCAAATTTATGTTGTTTCATAAATTGTTCAATAAGATGGTGTCATATTAACATTGGATATACCCGTATAAATACCACGTAATTTACTATTAAAATATAAGTTTCATCTTTTTACTTTCTGACTAAATCGCAATATTATTCAAGTTGTGTAACAATAATCATAATAATTGGAAGAAAATAGAACTTATACCTTATATACATATTATAATGAATAGGCTATTTGAGTTTTGTGTTATTCTTATTGTAGGTACATAATAATACATAATAATCTTCATTAAATCGTGTAGAAAATTATAATACGTATATTTTAACATTTGTAAATAATTTATATTTATTGATGCAACAAAGTGCGTTTTAATTAAATTTAGTGAATTTATTGTACCAAATAAAGTAAAATTTATTTAAAGAAATCGACATTACATGGGTACATAGTTGAATATATTTTTGGTTTATAATAAAACAAATCAGCGCATGGTTCAAGCAATTTATCTCGATTTTCGTATTTAGTATTGTAACGATATTAATATAATACCATTATGGGCACGTATTAAGTGTTGTATTTTAAATGTATATATATATATATATATATTGCGACATGTGTCACGTGCAGTATTATAATTACCTAATAATGCTAAAAAAAAAGCCCGTATTTTAAAAGCCAATGTAATTGTCCATCAGTTGAATTGGTTCCATTAAGTATATTTGATCATTTGTTCGCGAACTGTATAATTGATTTAAAGACGGTAATTTGCGCCGATGTTTAATTGTCATTACAGGGTAGCACGCAATGCTTCATTGGGTTTTAATAAAGTAAATACACGGAAGTAATAGACATCACGGGTTACAGGCGAAGACGGAAGAACAAAAGATAAAGAAAGTCCATATAGTTGATTTTGTTCATTATTAACATTTAAGTTGATTCTTTGGAAAGAAATAATTATGATTTCACATCGCTATATATAACATGTAAACAATAATTTATTACTGTGTCTTTTTGTTATAAACACGTACAGAATATTGTATATAGTTACGTTATTTCACATTTCCATATAATCAAAAAATAACAATCGGATTAAAATACAATGATGTCGAATTTCAAAATTACTCGAATTATATGTATCTATACCTAATTTATATCTCATTGCTAGTTATTCATCAAAAATAATCCGAAGATAATTTATAAATTATTACGATCACTTATTATTATGAATATTAATATTGTCAAATTGTATTATAATAAATTAATAAGTTTGGTATAAATTATACAGATCTGTATATTTTATAATGTATTTTATATTATTCACATTATAACATTATTGTTACTATTTCATGTTCATTTAATATTCAAATTTAAAACAGTGTATTTAATATTAAATACTCAAGCACTCGCTTTTATTGAATAATCAATATTTATAAATTGTAACAATAATTAGGTTCATGTGTACTTTATTGCCAAATTGTTAAATTCTTCAATATAATGCAAAACGAATAGTTGAACGGAATTTAATTTAACAATATAGATTTATTTTGGAAGCATGCTTGCACTTCTTCTACTCTTTTACCTTAATCTCACGAAATTAGATCAGCTACTCTTTGCATTTTTCGCTTCCCTTATATCCATCACTATATTAGCTTATTTAATCTACGCGTCCCCGTATCTCCACAATAATAACATTTTAGCTACATGTTCTTCGGTTTACCTAAGGACGTACTAGCAATATAGTCTATTATCCCAAAAGACATTAGGCCACTATTTGTGTTTATATTGTGGGCCAGTGCTGATAGCTATACTTTTGTACTTGTAATAAATAATAATTATATAATAATTAATAATAATGTTTTCCAATGAGTTTTCGATCAGAAAACATACACAAGCCATCAACTTTATTGGTGGTTTTTGACAGAAAATGTTACTAATTGGTGCATTGAGAAGGTTATTTTTTTTCTAATAATATTTTCCGTAATAATAGGGGGGGGGGAACCAGAAAAAACATCCCAATAAACGAAGTATTTTTTGTTAAATTTGTTAAAAATTATCTACTAGTCCTGACTCCTGAAATATACAGAATACTCATATTAACATTTTACAAACCTGGTTTAACTTTCGAAATATTCTGATATTTTTTAGTTATTTATAGTAATAGGTATTCAAAATGTTCGAAATTTGTTTGGTTTTGTGTTGAAAAAAATGTGATGCCGTTTAATATAAATGCTAAAAAATTTGATACGAGATTTATCATAAGTTATAATACTCAGTGATAAAACAAGGAGCAATTTAATTCACACACACATACAAATGATTTACTCAATTTATTTTAATTTATATACTTAGGTTGTACCTGAGTGATGCCCTAGCCCTTCGAATTTAAAAATAAACAAATTTAAAAATATTAGCAAAACTAATAAATAATGATAAATGCTAATAAATTATTAGCATATTTAGAAATTATAAAGTAAAATTAATCATAATATATAAGGTATTTTAGTTTATGACTATATGCAATACTATAACGATGGATCATTGCAAACGATGCTAAGCATAGTTCGAAGCATATCTTTCGAAAATTGAATTAATTTGTAACTAAAAAATAAATTACAACCGTTTAAACGAATTCTATAATAAATTTGAATTTAAAACACTTATAAAAAAATAACAACTTCAGGCTTACTTTTTAATTTTATATCACAAGTAAAACTTATAAAAAAAAGTACCTATATACCTTGTATCGAATACTTGATTATTTTTTAGAAGCTAAATAATGTATTTACATAAAATTAATAATACTCGTAAATTTAATATAATTATAAATACCCTACAAAGTGCTAGAATATTCTTGAAACTGTACTACGTTTTGCATTAAGTCTTCAGAGTTTCCTCTGAACTTTTCAAGTCATTTTTCAATAATTTACAACAATAAACAAAATCGATTTTATCAGAAACCGTTGTTTCATAATTATTCTCGCTTTTCCTTCTCCAATTTTTCTTCATTATTAAGAAAAATATTAAGTAAAATAAAGGACTCGTATGTAGCAATCAAAAATAACCTCTGTTGGTGATGATCGGAGAAAGATTTTCGGTTGAAAAGATGTTAAAAATGAAATTACTATTAATGTTTTGATTAGTTTAC